TTCTCTCTGTAGGGAGAAGAGAAAGTTCCTTCATAAGATGCCTACAGACAGACTAGAGATGTAAAATTTCTTGAAATGTTGACGCTCGGAAAAAAACCCATTTTTTTTCCGGGGGGAAACGGAAATTTTAGGAAAACTTGAAAAAAATGCTACATTACCGCTTCTTTTTTTCTTTTCCAGACTGAAAGTCATTCTGTTACTTCAAGAACATAAAATATGACTATGGACATTTTTTCTTGGCATGAAATTATCACAACTAGGATATTAAAATATAGTGTATCCAAGCAATTATTACAAACAGAATACCCACCCACATGCAAAAACAAAACTGAAACCTTTTGAGCACCTCCTAAAGGAAGAAATGCATCTTGTTCTTGCATTGGAGAGTTCAGTTTGTAACCTAGGACTTGCTTGTCCTCAGTGCACAGATATTAGATCAATCTGATACCATACATATTTTTTATAAATGATTTGGAAAATATGTGAACACCTTGTCTTAAAATAGTTTATTCATCATGTTAAAATAAAATGCTCCATAATCAATTTCTTTTCTTTTTTCAATTTTTCCAATTTTTGGGGAAAAAACAAAAAAGGCTTCAGGGAAAAAAGGGGGGAAAACATCCCCCCCCCCATTTTTCCGTTTTTCCTCCAGGGCCTTCACATCTCTAAGACAGACATCATCATTTGATGGAGAGAAATAGACCCCCTGCTGGATCAGACCAAAAATCCTCCCAGTCTAGAATCTTTTACCCATAGTGGATGACCAAATGTGTCCAGGAAATGCAGTTGCCTGGCAAGAAGGGAACAGAATTACCCTGCCCCCTCCCCGTAGCCGATCGTAATAGGTAACACACAACGACAAAGGTACGGCACCCAGTAAAAAGTGACACAAAACTAGCAAAACAATTGTGCGCTATATTTCCCGCAACATATTCATAAAGGAGACTTCATTTAAAGTGTAATATGTCTATTATATGAAGTCAATATGCCCATACAATCCATCATAGGAAACTACAGAGGCCAAAGAGTAAATATACAGAATTCTATATAGAAAGTCCAACACTTTTCCCAGGTAATTTTTTTAGTGTTTCAGACCTCTGGTCCTTCCTCAGGAACAAAGAACCACTGCTGAGAAACCTTTTTCCTTACAAGGTGCAACTGAACAACAGTGTCTGTAATGCATCCCACTTTTTTTTTTTTTTTTTGCTGTACTTCTTCTTGTTGTTTAGTCGCACAGTCGAGTCCGTTTCTTTGCGACCCCATGAACCACATCACGGCAGGCCCTCCTGTCTTCCGTAGTCCTCCAGAGTTTGCTTAATTTCATGTACGTTGCATCGATAACACTGTCTAAACATCCATCCTTTGCCGTCCCCGTCTTCTTTGACCTTCGATCTTTCCCAGCATCAGGGTCTTCTCCAGTGAGGGCTCCCTTCTCATTTGGGGGCCAAAGTACTGGAGCCTCAGCTTCAGTCTCTGGCCTTCCAGGGAACAGCCAGGGTTGATTTCCTTTAGAATTGACTGATTCAATCTCCTTGCTGTCCGGGGGACTCTCAAGAGTCTTTGCTACTGCCATAGTCTACACTAAATTGAGGCCTGCTCTATATTTAGGTTTGCACAACCTGACACCGCCCACCCAGCGGTTCGAAAGCATTAAATAGCAAGTAGATAAATCGGGTACCTGCCCTTAGGTGGCAGGGGGCACCCTCCTCCTCGTGAGGTGTGCAGCAGGCGCATCGGCGGCGGCGGACGTCAGGCTGCGGGGTCTGGTGGAGGCAAAGTTGTGGGGCGCGGTGACGTGGCGGCGCAGCGGAGCCAGCAGGACGTGAGCCAGAGCTGCAGCTGGCGCGGGGCCGCGCACCGGATGAGGCCCGCCGGAGGAAGCCACTGGACTGGAAAAGACCTGTTCCAAGGCGCCGGAGGTAGAACACCGACACACGAAGACTGCTTGATGGAGCCGGATAACATCAAGCCCTGCTGCCTGGGGTCACCTCCCTATATAATGTGGCCCTAGATAGGAAATCGAAAAATTGTATGTAAACCGCTCAGAGACCCTTCGGGTCTAGCAGGTACTCATTTGCATATTAAGTGACACACCCCTAATGTAGCCAATCCTCCAAGAGCTTACAGTAGCCCCTGTAAGAAGAGCTCTGTAAGCTCTTGGAGGATTGGATACATTAGGGGTGTGTCGCCTAAGATGCAAGGCAGTTCCTGCTACAAAAAGAGCTGGGTCCCTGACAAACAAAAAAACAAGTCCTGGGAAGTGTTAGGTAGTAAAAGCTAGCCTTTTCATTTTGTTTCCTGTGTGACTTTTGATATCTGTTGGCTATAGCCTTATTACTCTTACTTATTTAATAAACTATACAGGATATTGTATAATAATGGCCCTGGCCACACGGGCTGGATATGGGGGGGGAGGCGTGGCTAAGATCATGATTACTACGCCACTACTGTACTTATGTGAGACTAGAAATGAGGCCCGTTGCGGAAATAAATACAACGGGATCTAGAAAGAGGCTCTGGGAGAGTGCTCTGGCTTTGGGCAAACAGTGTCAGTTTCCTGTGGGGACCTCAGCAGGGTTTAATGACAGAGTCCACTGTTTTCTCCAGAGGGACTGATCTGTGCTACCTGAAGAGCATTTGTATGTTTGAGTTATCTGTAGCCCTCACCTGGAGAGTGGTAACCATTGTTACCCATTCTCCTCTCCCCTATGAGGTATGTTATGCAACTGAAAATTCCAACTGCCTTGGGGGGGGGGAGTTTGAGGTGTGGAATGGACTGAAGTCCAATCAGCTTCCATATGCAAAAGACCAGGCTGTCGCAGCAGTTGTGGTGTGGGCGGGACCCGGGCTTTGCCTTCTGATTGGTGGCGATATATGCTGAGGAGCAGTGCCATCAGCCATACACGAAGGGAGTGCATTTTAGAATTAGAACTTTGGCACCCACTATTCAATTATATATAAGGAGAGATGTCGATAACGCCAAAGAATTACAGTTGTACTATCCATGGTTTTAATGCCCATTCCCTCCGTCCTGTTCCGGATTTTGCCCTGTCCACTAAACCCGAATGCTTTTTAGCCTCCCCCCCCACCCCGTCATTTCTTGCCACACTTTCCCACTTTGCGTCCCCCCCCCTCCCTTCCTTTCCTCTACTGCTGCCCTTGGACTCCCCTCCCCCAAATGCATTTTCAGCTCACCCGATCCTGGGATGTGCGTGCTTGGAGGGGGCGTGGAGGAAAGGCATGGAGCAAAGCCAGCTTCCCGGGGAGTGGGGGCGGGGGGAGGAGAGAAGGTAATCTAGCACAAAGTGACCCCCCCCCCCATCCTCTGCAGGAGCTCAGCCTCGCCCCCTTTAACCCTCGGCGCGCCTTTCTGCCGTAAGCAGAGCGGACGGAAGGGGAAAGGGGGAGCTTTAATAAGCGATGCACTTTCCTGTCTGAGTCTCCCTCCCTCCCACCCACTGCCAACTCTGCAAATTTGTCGTTGTCTCAAACCGGGGGGGGGGACCCCGAGCCTAGGAGGGGATCTTTGCAATGGGATGGGGGAGGCCGGGGAGAGCCCCCATCCCTCCCTAAGCGCCCTGCAGCCGCCCCATCCACGACACCGGAGGGTGGGGTGCAATGTTCCCTCTAAGGTGTGGAATCTTGTGAGCAAAAATTCTACTTTGTGAGCAAGCAATTTGGCTAGAAGAAAGAAAGAAAGAGGATTTATACCCCGCCCTTCACCACCCAAAGGTGTCTCAGAGCGGCTTACAAGCTTCCCCTCCCCACAACAGACACCCTATGAGGTCGGTGGGGCTGAGAGAACTCTTGACAGAAACGGCTCTTTTTCAAGGACAGCTCTTATCAGAACTACGGCTTGCCCAAGGCCATCCAGCCAGGTGCAGGTGGAGGAGTGGGGAATCAAACCCGGTTCTCCCAGACTAGAGTCCGGGGCACTTAACCACTTCACCAAACTAGCTTTTAGTTTGCTCTGGAGCCCTCCTTCCTGAGCGAAGACAAAAATCTGTGAGTTGGAGGCTAAAAAACTGTGAGCTAGCTCACACTAACTCAGCTTAGAGGGAACACTGGTGGGGTGTCGCCTTCCTTCCTCTCTGCAAAGCCAGCAGGGTCCCTGCAGCATCTTCCTCGGGGCGGAGAGCTCAGACACGTCCTCTCTGCGTGAAACGGGTTCCCTTTCCAGAGTGCGGTGGGAATCATAGAATCACAGAATGTTAGAGTTGGAAGGGACCTTGCAGGTCATCTAGTCCAACCCCCTGCACTCTGCAGGAGCATAGCCAAAAGATAGCCCTACATAGCCCACTGGTATGTAGTGGGCTATGTAGCCAAAAGATAGCCTTTTCCTGGGAAAAGGTGTCCAGGAAGGTGGGGGACGCTGAAGCCCCTTTTCTGCTTCTTATGCCCCTGCCTCGTCTCCCAAAAGAATAGAACTCGGAGGGCATCAGGGGAGATCAGGGCTCTGCGAGACCTAGCACAGTTCCGCAGAGCTTGCAAGACGGATTGTATTTTCATTGGCATAACTTTGGTTTTGAAAGGTGGGTTAGACCATATACTTTGCCAAGATTCATCTGATAACTGTATGTTGCATTTTTTGTGCCAGAGAGATTGATAGGAGAGATGGGATAGAGAAATTTAGGTTTGATAGGAAAGTGAGCGTTGTGTATCTTTCAATTCCCCCCCC